CTTACCATCGAAACTAAAATAAAGAAAACCAACATGTACCCACTGATTGTTGCTTACAATGAACTGAATGAAATCAAATAAATATTGGTTTGTTGATATAATCACATAAGAAAGATAGAGAAAACTGGGTTGAGAAAATGGTGATGGTTCTAGAGTTTGTCTGTGTGTGTGTGTGTGAACGCATATGAATTAGAGGCTAAGGAGGCGTATGCAATGATGGTTACAAAACCCTAAAGCCTTATATCATTCTAAACATTCGGTTTCTGCCAAAAATAGGATAAGGGCCGAGATACCAAGGCCGAGATTGAGGGGGAATAAGAAGGAAACATATTGATTGATTAAATAGTATCCGAGATTAAGTGGGAATAAAGAAGGAAACAAATTGATTGATTAAATAGTATCGTTTAAACAAAAAATATATTAGCTAGTTGTACCTTATGTATTAAAGTTTATACCTCTTAATTTTCAAGAAACATCTAATATCTTTTATATAATAGTAAAGATAAATAAAGATAAAGATATATATATATATATATATAATATATATATATCTATATATATATATATATATATATATATATATATATATAGAGAGAGAGAGAGAGAGAGAGCTAGGTTCAGGTGTTTAAAGTAATTATTATGTTATTGTATGAACCAATGTGGGCCAATCAATTTTTAAGAAATATTAAATAATTAATAAATTGTTTAAGGGGTATAATAGTAATCTTGAAACATTTTATTTTTAGTAAATATTGAAAACATTTAATATCCCTTTGAATTAGGAATTTAGTTTAAAACCTTACAATACATCTACGCCTCATCCCTCACCAGCAGGTCACCGACTCAACCAGTGCCTCCTACTTCAATCGAGATCACCAGCAGCTCATCCCTCCCGATTTTTACTCCTCCACCAATCGCCGACTTGTTGGTGTCGTTTGTATCCCCCCTGTCGCAGCAAAAAAGTATTTGATTCGATTGCGATTTAGATTCAGAAGAAGATTTGAAGATGTTTACGTAACCTGATTTCCTCTCGTTTCTTATATCTCTCTCGGTCTCCCTTTATGTTCTCATCCCTCCCCTGTACTGATCCAGGCGACAAACGACTTCAAAAAAAGCTCATCGCCTCGACGCTGCTCCTATCTCAGCAAAAATCACCATTTCAGTTGAAGACTTAGCCTCTCTCCCGTCGATTTATGTGGCAACGTAGATATCACCATGAGTCCCTTTGTCCACGATAGTAGGTATGTCGATTTTGGTTTCACAGGAAACCCTAGATCAAATTTTCCTCTAAAAAACTAAATTTTGATTAGTTTTGAAGTTATATGGACTTGCTGGGTTTAGAAAATGACAAATCTTTTGAATCTATTTTATATGAATGTAAAGAAATCAGTTCTCTTATATACCAAATAATCCCTCCTACTGCGATTTGTAGTTTTCATTGATTCCAATATGTTTGATCCCTTATTTCCCTTCTGTATATGGTTGCCTCTTCCACCTTCTGTTGCTTTCTATTTCCATTTTGCTCAAATATTATCTTTCGTCTTTAAGATTACCAACCCTAACCCTTTATTGCACTTTTTTTTGTTCCTGTCGCTATTCTTCGTCAATGGAAAAAAAAACATGCAATAATATTGTTCCAACTAAGAATCAGGTAATTGACTCATTGTCTGTCTTTTTTTTCGTCTCAATTTATTTGTGTAATTATATAACAAATGCTTCTTTTTTGTTTTCTCTTCAACTTTTTTTTGATGAATTTTTGGTTTTGTTATGACAGTTACGATGGACGGTCCAGGTTATTTCAATCCCTAGTATGGACGATTCAATTTGTGATTTTCGTAACACTTCTTCTCCCAAATTGCGTTTATTGTTGCTTAAATGTTGGCAGTTTCTGATTTTTTTTTTATTTGATATTAAGTGCTTGATATGAATGCACATACGGTGCTTGATGAATGCACATACGGTGCTTGATGAATGCACATAAGTTGTCTGATGGAAGGGAATAACTTTTTGCTATATCTTCTTTTGAATTGATAAAAATCAATGTTTATGATTATTTTAGTGGTTAAAAGGGTGTTGTGGAGGAAAAGAGCAAGTGAATGAACTTATGAATGAATTTATGTGATATTTTATAATATATTTTCGCTAGAAAAAGAAGGAGTCTGATGGTGTATTTCTGCATTTCTGACAACAATTCTGCCGGAATGGAATCTTGAATTCCAATTCCATTAGAATGGAATCTCGAATTCTAAGCGAATTTAAGCAGGGACTTACCAAACACAACACATACTGGTATTTTTTAGTTCCACTTAACTATTATTTTGACTATTTAATTGCTTTTTTTTCGAATCATAAAAGATTTGCTTTGTAACTCTCGCCGTACTCGATTCTCCGGTAGTTGTCGCCGCCGATGACATCTCCAACTAAGAGTATTTTGGAATTAACAAACTTCTTCATGATCATGGTGTCCTTATCATCAATGTGGTTCCTCAGAATGAGGTGATCTATATGAAACTGGTTGAAGAACTTAAGATTAGAGTTGCATCAAGGCAACGACGCATACCCATACCCCCCCCAGCATTCTACGGGAATGGAATATTGAAGATGAACAATGACCACCAATCTTCCAAAAAGAATGGATTATTCCAGCAGAATAAAATAAAATATAATGAAAAAAAAATATATGTAATTGTATATTCTGGTAGAATGATTTATATATCGTATTTATTTGTTATTAATAAGTGTAACATTCTCATAGAATAGTATATAAATTTTTTTCTTTTCTAAGAATGTAATGAAATTTTTTTAAACTTTTATCCAAAATTTTGTTATTATTCAAGAAGTTCATTAAATCAAAATATATATTATGTCAGAATGTATATTCTTGTATGGTTCAATCATAGTTGTTATTTTTCAATATATTGATAAACATATTCCGTCAGAATTTCCGAATTAGGAGAATAATCATCCATACAATCAGATTTTTAAAATTAATATAATCTATTATCCCTTAAAATATGTAATTTTCCTTAAAATATGCAAATTTCCTTTATAAAATTTATATTAATTGACTAAAATACCCTTCTAGTTAAATTAGATGGTATTTTTCAATTATATTTAATTAAATAATATGTAATAATCACTTTCTTAAAATAAATAAAATTGATTGGCCCACATTTATGCATACAATAACACAATAATTAATTTGAATAGAATAACCTAGGCCTATATATATATATATATATATATATATATATATATATATATATATATATATATATATATATATATATATATATATATATATATATAGGGAAGGCTAATGCGAAAATACATATATCTTGCGAAAATGAAAAGAACCAATTAAAATTTTACACATCATTCTTATTTTCTTGTAATTATTAAACATTACGTATATGCTATAAGGTTATATATGTAATTTAAGCAGCTAACTGTTTTGTTTCAGTTTTACAATCAATGCATGCAAAACTACATAAATAGACAACTTCCACGTATATATACATTAAATAACCACTCCAAAACATATTAAAAATAAGCTTTAACAATATCAAATTTTCTATTTTTTTTTCTAATATCAAAATTTTGTTTTCTAAAAGAAACGTGTTTTTTTTTTTATGAAAACTTAAAAGTTTCAAAATAAAATTGCAAATTTATGAATTTAATAAAGAAACATATTTTAGAAAAAGAAAATAATTGAAAATTATTAATACATCTTCCAAAAAAAAATTGGATGTTTGAAAAATTAATGAAATGCATATGTAACAGATGTGTGTTTTTACTATTACATATCCAAATATTTATATATGTATTCTACTGGAATTGATTTAATAAATAAACAAACTTAAAAATACAATGGTGTAATAACAAAATGAGAAATTAAATATCCTCCTACTTTTTGTTCCTACATATCCTCCTACCCAATGAAATATCCTCCTACTCTTTGTTCCTACATATCCTCCTACCCAATGAAATATCCTTTTACTTTTTGTTCCTACATATCCTCCTACCCAATGAAATATCCTCCTACTCTTTGTTCCTACATATCCTCCTACCCAATGAAATATCCTCTTACTCTTTGTTCCTATATATAACAAAATATGGGGTGGTCACGCAACCCAAGCCCTATCTGCCATTTCATATCCTCTTGTTGACATGTTTGTTAAGTTCACAAGCTTTGCATCGTTGCATGCGTGTCACTTCATATCATCTTCTTTTTCTTCTTTCCTGATTTGGTTTTAGGAGCAACATCTCCATATGTAACAATGTTATTCTCTTTGTCATTTGGCTTTGTTTCACCAATTGTATTTCAACTTATTTTTCTTGCTTTTCTTTGATGATTGTTCATGACCATTTCAACATCCATTTATGCAGTTAGAGGCAATAAATCAATAAAAATACGTTAATATTTCTCACATTAGTTTGAGGGTGTATTTATATAATGAATATACATTGATTAGCATCATTCTCCATAGCAGCCTTCATAACCTTAATGTTACAAGGTGCAACTCCTTTGTCATAAAAATCAAGCCGCTCCTCCCTTTGCTCACGAAGCTTATCTCCAAAAGAAGTGATGCCACTCACTCTATGTGGTGTCATTAAAATTTACAAACTTTAATAAAGATTAACCAAAAACATAACTTCAAAAAAAATCATACACTAATTAACCTTAGAAGCAATCAACTCGAGAAGCAATTGAACACTTGTTAGCCAAAAAAGGAGCCATTCGAACTTTGTTTTTTGCAAATGCACGACCAATAAAAGATGAATGGAAAATAATTCCATATTTTGGTGAGTTCCCTTTTGTTTTCAAAGGCTTAAAATCAGAACAACAAGCTCGAGATTAATATCTAACTGTTTTTAGATAAAAATTTTGGTAGTTGTATATGCATGATAATATTGGAACTGAAAAGGGACAACACCAGGGATTTGAAGGGTAGAAGAAGGGCATTTTGCAAGATTTGTGAGGCTTCCAACATGAGATATCAAACGAGCACCAACAACTTGTCAACTTCATCAATTAAAGCAGCCAAATTTGGTGTTACGTCACTCATTTTAGCAACAAGATAGTTCTCTCTGTATTCAGCAAGGCCCATCACCCGTTGTGCAAACATCTTGACATTACTCAAGTCAACTGGTGACAAATCTTGACCTGAAAAGAGAATAGATTGGGATACCGTATTAATAATTATAACCACAAAAAAAAACAACAAACATAAACCTACCCTGCTACCCACGGAAGCTTTGGCTGCTTCAATTACTTCCTTTGTTTTTTCCACTTTACAAGCTGAATCCATTTTGCAATAACCAAACTCTCCAAGGTTAAAATGCCCTTACCGGAAAAAGAAGACGCATCAATCGAAGACGCATCAACCCACATGACTAAAAAACAATCTCTTATTACATTAAGAATCCATTTAAGTGGTATGGCTAGTCCTATGGTTTTTTTTTTTGCCATGGGCGAAGAGATTTAAATATGCCCCTATGCTTATAGAATATAATATATACCGAACACCTAAGAATGTCCAAAATTTGAGTACTTTAATTCAAAAAAATAACCAGATTGGAAAAAATGGCAAATTGACTATAGCGTTGTGCTTTTTAACATGTAACTATAAGAACTTTTAGCAAAAATGGACATATGAGTATATCACTAGGATGTGCATATTCAAAGTTCTTTTGAAAGAAAAAGAATTTTATTAAATAAAAACTAGCAAATGACAACCCAAGTACAATCTAGATAATAGCAACTAACAACATATCCCTCTTACACAAACAATGAGACAACACAATCAACTTTGGATCTTCAACGACTATTCTAGTAATTAATCTTCAAGGTGGTAACATCAACAATGTTTTAGTCGGTAGCAAACTTGGATCTTCAAAAGTGGGAAAAAACTAAGGGTAAATACGTAAAAAAGATGAAAACTTTTTAATGCTTTAGTTTATATGCATCAAAATCACCCACATAAAAAGACATTCTCTCAAGCGGTCACTTGAAGGCCGGTTGGTAAATGTGTAGATAACAGATAGAAAAAAATACATATAGGGAGAGACGAAGAAATAGAGCGTCGATAATGGTTTTAAGCGGAGAAACTAGATCAAGGATAGATGCTGACCATGACCTACACTACTGATTTTGTGTGGTGGTGGTGCGGTCTAGTTGCAGTCCAGGAGAATCTATGGTGGAGCGATTGTCTCAGTGGCGGTGGCGCGCGTTAATGTACACATATGGTGGTGTCACCAGTGGTTGGATTAGGAAATGATCAATGACGGTGTTGATTCAACGCTGGTGGTTAACCGGCGACTTCAATGACCGTGGCGGCAAATACAGTGGGAGATGTGGTGGCATTTGGCAGCCAACTAATTTTTATTTGGAAAACAAGTGCCGACAAGAATATGTTCTGCCGGTATGTCGTCCTCCCATTCGGTTCAATCTTAAAACGGGTTATGTTTTCTATTTTAAGAGACTAGTTATTTTATTTATGATAATAAGTTTGTTAACACCTTTAATTAATGACTAAAAAAAGCCCCGCCCTAAATATTTCATTTAATTGGAAGTATATTTTCGTGAAAATTTATATAGCAGAAAAATGATTTGCACTAGAAATGATTCCATGACTGATGGCACATTTAAGCTAACCCAATCTGCATCTAAATAACAATCTCAAAGGCTTTGTTACAGGAACAAATGAAGTAAGCATGACATATCATAAATAAAGGAGCAAGCTTACCAACTTCTGAGTGCTGACTAGTCTTGTCCATGATGGTTGGCAAAGTCAACATGTCACCAACAATTGAAACGATCAACCGCAACAACCCACCACCTTCCTTGGTCATATTTCACCAACTCCCTTCTCTATATATTACGATCAGTTTTCTCCTTTCTTCTCAGGTTCACTTCTACAGCCTAATATAATACCTTCCAACATTTCACACACCAGACATCCATCGGAATGGCAGCTACCGGAGAAGCTCAACCCACAAAACATCAAGAAGTTGGCCACAAGAGCCTCCTTCAAAGCGATGCTCTCTACCAATACATTCTGGAAACCAGCGTTTACCCGAGAGAACCACAAGCCATGAAAGAGCTGCGTGAGGTCACTGCTAAACACCCATGGTAAGTGCCTTAATTTACCCAAAGTTTACTATGAACTGAATATTTATGGGTGCATTTCGTTTTTCTAAATATTTTGCTTGTCATTTGAACTATAGGAATCTTATGACGACATCTGCGGATGAAGGACAATTTTTGAATATGCTTCTCAAACTCATAAATGCCAAGAACACGATGGAGATTGGTGTTTACACTGGTTATTCACTTCTTTCTACGGCTCTTGCTCTCCCAGAGGATGGAAAGATATTGGCTTTGGACATAAACCGTGAAAATTATGAAATTGGCCTTCCGATCATTGAGAAAGCCGGTGTTGCCCACAAGATTGATTTTAGAGAAGGCCCTGCTCTTCCTCTTCTTGATGAAATGGTCAATGATGTAAGTACTTACAAACATATAAAAGATATTGTTTTTTTTAATATGTATTTTCTCCAAATTATGAAAACTCATTTTGCTTTGCACATTTTGAACTACAGGTGAAACTTCATGGATCGTTCGATTTTATTTTTGTGGATGCTGATAAAGACAACTATCTTAACTACCACAAAAGGTTAATTGACCTTATCAAAATTGGAGGTGTCATTGGCTACGACAACACCCTTTGGAACGGTTCTTTAGTGGCCCCACCAGATGCACCACTCAGGAAGTATGTTAGGTATTACAGAGATTTTGTGTTAGAGCTTAACAAGGCATTGGCTGTTGATCCGAGGGTTGAGATTTGCCAACTTCCAGTAGGCGACGGAATCACTTTGTGTCGTCGTATAAGTTAATCACAAATCACGGAAATTTTCTATACACATACAAGTCTTCTTTTTGTACTTATTTTAACGATCCATGTATCCACATCTTGTAAAAGGCTGGGGGTTTTAGCTCACAGATTGTGACGAAAGTTCAAGGAATTTTTATTTATTTATTTATTATTATTTTTTTTTTTGTGAAAAAATAATCGGATGGGGAGAGCGAATTTTTTTGGCCAAAACAAACATAACTGTTGAAAATAATATGTTTTATACATTCAATCTCTTATTTATTTTGTCATTAGTTGGGAGACTCATGTATTATATGGGTTAATTTTAAAAAAATAATAATATAAATGTCAAAATATTTGAGAACTTTGAATTTATAAGAAAATAAGAAAAATAATGAATTATTATAATGGAAATGTTTTTTATCTTTTAAATTTAAACAAATAACTTAAATAAAAGAAATAAACTAATGAGATTTAACTTTGAGGATTTTAAAATTAAAACGTAAGTTGATTAATGAAATTAATATCCATTTATTACTAAATTTATTGTAATTATTACATTAAAATATTATATGAAATTTAATAAAATAGAAAAACTCATAAAATGACATGTGGAAAAAAAATTAATTCAAAATAACCACAAAATGACATTTGACAAATTGAACGAGAGTGTAACAAGTGGCAAAAAAAACATTCACTTATTAGAAAGGATTAATAATTTATTTTGTAAAGATTTTGTTTTGAGGGTATATTTTGTATTTGATGGTTGGGCGTTACATATTTTGGTCAAAGGGCTAGTTGTGCTATTATGGAAATGTGGTGGGCTGCGGCATGCTTTTGTATATCTTGCAGGAAGAAACACGCGGATCCTATTGATCCATGGGTTATATCCGTATCCACGACCAGGGATGAGATTTAAAATCGGAAAACCGGACCGGAACCGCAACTGTTAGAACCGGAATATATAGAACTGGTTCTGGTTCAGCGTTTTAAAATTGGCTTTATCCGGGTTCAGGGTAATCCGGGTTTGGATCCATCTGGTCCGGGCAAACCGGGTCTAAGAACCGTAACCGGTGTTAGGAACTGAAACCACTTTTAGGGGTCGGAACCGGTTTTTGTGAAACGTTTAAAACATGTATATCTCATTCGATCAAGTCGGATTGACATACGATTTTTTCCAACGTGTGGTTTAGAGTCTGTACATGCTTTTAGACTATAAATTTGTCATTTTTAGTTTTATATTCACTGATTTACAGGCCGCCAAAGTCGAGATATCAAAGCTGAAAGTTTTTAGTTTTTCAGCTTTTTTGTACTCTGTGAAAGTTTTAAAACATGTATATCTAATTAGCTTGAAGTCAGATTGACATGCAGTTTTTTCCAACTTGTAGTTTAGACTTTGTACATGAATTTAGATTATTATTGTGTCATTTTTTGTTTAATATTCAATGACATACAGTCCCCCGAAGTTGGGATATCAAAGCTGAAAATTTTCAACTTTTCAACTATTTGTGTTTGTACTTTCAATTTTGTGAAAACGTTAACACATGCATATCTTATTCGTTTAAAGTCAGATTGATATATGGTTTTTTTTTCTAGAGTGTAGTTTATAGTTTGTACATGATTTTAGACTATAATTTTGTCAATTTTGATTTCATATTCAATGACTTATAGTCCCCCGAAGTCAGGATATCAATATGAAAATTTCCAAACTTCAACCCACTAAGTAGTAAGTAATTACCAAACAATTCCGTTTTTTTTCGGGTTCTCTGGATCTAAATCCACTTTATCCGGTTCCAACCTATCCCAGTTGATGTTTTCGGGTTTTCCGGTTCTAGACCCACTTTACCCGGTACCGTACCCGGAATCGGTTCCTATATACAGGTCTGGTTTCCGGTTCTACAAAATCCTGTTAACCGGTTCTGGGTTTTCCGGGTCCGGACCCATCATGTCTGGGTTTGGACCTACTTTCATCCCTTTCCACTAGCCGGAGTATATAAACTATGAAAGCAGCAATTGGTTTCATATTGCGCACTCTCATTTTTCTCACAGAGCTCTCTCTCTCTCTCTCTAGTTTCTCTTGTTTCAATTGTATAGAAATTAGGGTTACGGTTTTACTCTCAAGTGGTTTTGCTCTGTTTTGTTGCTTTATGATTCTTGTGTAATCATTATATATTAGATTGAGTGTCATTGTGAGTAGTTGTAGGATTTTTGTAGTGAGGTTTCTGGTTGTAAGTTCCTGAAAACTGACTGGTTCTTTGTCCTCAATTGATATAAGAATCATTGATGTTGTATATATTGTATTTCTGATGTATTTGACATGGTATCAGAGCTTCACGGCTTGATTTTGTTGGCTGACGATTGACGGTGCTTCGACAGTCGACGATCTGAAAGGTAACTTCGTTTTCCTTTCATTTTTGTTTCTTCCCTTGTAGATCTTCACTTGATCTGTTAAATCAGAAGTTTTCTTTCAGAAATCTTTCGATTGTAACATTTAAGTGAAAATCAAGGGTTCTTGTTTCGATCTAGGGTTTTGTGACAACCCGAAAATTTTATTCTTGTAAAAGTCAAACATATCGTGTAAAGGTCAAACTCAATTCTTTTATTATCTTATATGGCTAGATTAATGGGTTTTAAGTGTTTAAACCTTGTACCAAAGGTGTTGGTTGTTTAAGAAGTGAAACATGTTGAAACCGGGAACCTTCGCAACCCACTCCATCCGAACTGAGGACTTCATCAGAACCATAAACCCTCGGACCGTGAACGAGGTTCACGACCGCATAGAGGTTCACGGCCGTGAACAGTCCTCGAGTCGTGAACTCCTCACTATATATATATATATATATATATATATATATATATATATATATATATATATATATATATATATATATATATATATATATATATATATATATATATATATATGTGTGTGTGTGTGTGTGTGTGTGTGTGTTGATCGATTTTATCCTTCACTTCTTCACTTCTGGTCGTGAACTCGTCTATTCTCTCTCAAGTATCATCAGCCAAAAACCCTCTTCTCTCCTCTAGACCAAGAGAAACGCCTTCTTTCCTTGCTTTTCTTGTGAAATACTCTTGGATTCAACTTAGAATCGACTTACAACTTTAAGTGTTCATAATTTATCTAGGTTCTTGGGCCGTGAACACCCAGATTTGGGCTGTGAACTCAAGAACACCAAGTGTTCTAGGGCCGTGAACACACAGCCTGGCCGTGAACAGTAGGCAACCATCCATCTTTGCTTCTAACACCCTTATTTGTAAGTTAAACTTGCAAATTAGTTCAATTTCCTAGCATTCTTATGGGTATATTCATTAATAATATACCTATATATTACATAAATTGTGTTTAGGACCGGTTGTGTTAACAAGACTTCACTTGTGGAGCTAACGTCCTATACCAAATCTCCAATCGAATCCCCAACATAAGGTGAGTTCATACCCCTACATTTTTATGATTTTTAACTGTTTTAGGGGGGGGGGGAATACAAGTGAAACACAATGAAAATTGTGTTAATATATAAAATGCTTTTAAATGTTTTTAAAGTTTTTAATTGTTATAATTATCAAAAAATTGCATATTTATATATGTGTAAATTATATAATTTTGATTCAAAAGATTTAGAATATATAATTTGACCTCATTTCATGTTCCTTGTTTGGTTGTGGGCTTGAGGTAAAGTTATATAATCAAAGGTATAATTAATCACAATTATATAAATATTACATTTATGTAAATATAAAAGGTTTTCAAACTGTTTGGTACTATTTGGTACAAAGAGTGAACTTCATGGAATAATAGTACTACCGATTCTTACCAACAGTTAAACTATAATAGGTATAGTTTAGAGAACTTATTCATTGGCACTTAACGGAAAATGAGTAGAAAACATTAATCAGAAAACAACCATATAAACTATATCTTATATAGTTTATGAAACTGACCTACTGAGTATTTATTAC